CTAATTTAAGAATTGCAGTGATTCCCTTAACAAACGGGGCAAGAAAAATCCTAAAATGGGGCAAAACTCACTTAACAAATGTCTCACTTAGCACCATAAATTTTGGGCTCAATTGTGGTCGTAAATTGAGGACTACCTGTACTTGGAAATCACAGAGATTAGATGACTGACGTTCCTCTCCAAATTATAGATGATTCCCCACTATAGATATTTATGTGTGTATTTAATGTCTATAGACATCCATATCTTAAACAAGTGACTGAGCAGCAAGCAATCATAAAATAAAATCAGTACCAATATCATACAAAAATAAATATGTACGGCAAGAAATGGCTGAGGAAAAAAATGTCATCATAAATGTCAATATATCCAGGAAACGGGGCCCTTAACACGCTCGAGGGCCCAGGCACAAAGCCTGGTCTTCGAGTCCTTATCCTCAGCTCTGAGGGGAGAATGTTCCAGAGGGCAGAGAAGGCACATTTAGTCCTCACCAGCTGACCTTCCTTGACTTATGGAACCCACAGCATATCCAGCCTGTGGGACCAAATTGGATGTGTAGAAATCGTTAATTTTGTTCCTGGATTTTATTTATTTATTTAATTTATTTATTAGTCACATTTTTATGCCGCCCAACTCCGGAGGGATTCTGGGCGGCTAACAACAGAGTATAAAACAATGCGAACAATATCCCATACAAAAGTTTAAAAGAAAACATTGAAACCCATACACTCCAATTCGTGGCTGGGTCTCGCAGGATCACCATAGCGAGATCAACAGCCCCAGGCCTGCCGGAAGAGCCAGGTCTTCACCGCTTTCCGGAAGACCAGTAGGGTGGGGGCAGTCCGAACCTCAGAGGGTAATTGGTTCCAGAGAGCCGGGGCAGCCACAGAGAAGGCCCTCCCCCGCGGGCCCGCCAGCTGACATTGTTTAGCTGATGGGACCCGGAGGAGACCGACACTGTGGGATCTTACCGGTCGCTGGGAGCTATGCGGTAGAAGGTGGTCTTGAAGATAGCCTGGTCCTAAGCCATGTAGGGCTTTAAAGGTAATAACCAACACCTTGAATTGCATCCGGAGACTGAGAGGAAGCCAGTGCAGCTTGCGGAGAATTGGTGTAATGTGGGTGTATCTAGGTGCACCCACAAGAGCTCGCGCGGCTGCATTCTGGACCAACTGTAGTCTCCGAACACTTTTCAAGGGTAGCCCCATGTAGAGCGCGTTGCAATAATCCAACCGTGAGGTGACAAGGGCATGAGTGACTGTGAGGAGAGCCTCCTGATCCAAGTAGGGTCGCAATTGGTGCACCAGACGAACTTGTGCAAAGGTCCCCCTAGCTACAGCCGTCAGATGTTCCAATCTCAGCTGTGAGTCTAAGAGGACACCCAAATTGCGAGCCCGTTCTGAAGGGGGCACTTTCTCCCCCCCCCCCCAAGAACCAAGGATGGACAATCGACATAGTCTTTAGGGGGCAATACCCAGAGCCATTCGGTCTTGTCTGGGTTAAGTCTGAGCCTGTTGACTCCCATCCAGATCCTCACAGCCTCCAGGCACCGGCACATCACATCCACCGCCTCACTGAACTGACGAGGGGTGGAGGTATACAGCTGGATATCATCAGCATATTGTTGATATCCCACCCCGTGTCATCGCATGATATTTTTTTGGGTCCCTCTGAAAGTTGCTAACTGTTTAGAACGGATCTATTTACTTATTTTGTAAAGGACTGAGCCTGGATTTGAGGCAGAGTCATGGGCAAAGCATCTTTCTTCCAAAACCTTGAAGTTGCACAAAAGTAGCCCTTCTCTTATTACAATAATGGAACCCAGAATTTCCAGCATGCCAGTCATAAGTGAAGTTGCATAAAATGACCAATTTTTATGACCTTTTTTTTGTAGCTGTCATTAAATAGGTGCAGCACTTGTAAAGCAAATGCGGCAGTTGTAAAGCAAACCAGGTGATAAGTGGTTTTGAAGGCTGTGCTGTAACTTCAAACTGTCGCTAAGCAACCAGTCATTAAATGAGAACTGCCTGTATGACGAAAATCAGATGAATATGCAAGTAGGTCTATGCAGTCCTACATGCCATGCCGGGTGCTTTCAAGCTTGAAACATGTTTCAGAACTGGTGCTGAAATGGCCTCCTTCATCTTCTTGCTGATGTGCTACAGAATAAAGTAATTTTATTCTAATCATTTGAAACACTTCTCTCTCCAGGCCAGACATTCTGTTCTAATGAGAGATCTCTGCACAGAGGCTTCTTCACTGGCTCTGTCAAAAGGGCTACTCTTGTCTCATCTATTAAAAATGGCTTGAATGCATTACAGCGACAGCACCTCTTTTCCTTCGGTCCTCTGATTTTTGAAATTCAGGCACAAGGGGGGAAGCATGCTTATTGAAGGCTGTTCTTTTCGCAGGGACAAGCATGATAAGAACCATCGGCCACAGTTTCACAAGGTAGGTAACATGGACTGGTTGTCCACAGCGTGGTTTTGAAATCTAGGCATCTCAGCAAGCACCACAGGGACAACTCTCTGAGGGGCAGATGTCAAATGCAAAACCCATTCTTGAAATGGAGATTTCTTTTTCTCATTTGAGAGCCAGCTGTGGGAGTGCCCAAAACAATGATAACAGTTTTGAATAGAATCAGGATTGGGGAGGGCTCGGGAAATAAAACTCCATATGGCAGATGACTAGCGGAAAAGCACTTTTTGGAGATTATGCTGTTGTTTTGGTGGCCTAGATAAGGGAAAGTATGCTAAAGGTAATTATTTTGATTATTGGAAGATATATCTCCCTTCTTGTTGAGCACAAACAGGACAAAAACAGTTGTGCTTCGCCCAGACGAAGAGATGGGGGAGAGTTGGAGAGAAGCACGCAGATAGGAAGAAAAACTCTTTTTATAGATTTTTGTATCTTACGTCAGTAAATTATTTATGTGGAAGAGATGTATCATTTTAAGAGTTTGGAGTCTGGTGGGAAGCACAAGTCAAGCCCTTCCTGTGAGGGTGGAAGAATTGCACATCTCAAGAAATTCCAGGCAGAATTAACAAATAACAAATTTTCAGAGTGGAGAACCTTCTCTTCAGTCTGGTGATTTTCTATGCAGGGACCTGCTCTGAAAATAAACAGCAACCAACGCTATGCCTCCACTGCTATCACGGAGGCATTGATTCGTGAGATTGCCACTCATGTCAACGTTCCTCTACAAGTAAGCGTTTTTGAAAAGTAAAGATTCCCTTTATCCATGCGCTTTCATTGGAAACACTACACGGGTGGACTCCACAGATCTCTGGTACACCCCAGTGTTTTCTGTCCAAGTACTAAGCAGACCCAACCCTACTTTCATTTCCAAGTTTAAAGAAGATTGACTGCATGCTACCAATGCTGCATGGTGCTTCCACCATTAGGAACTGGCACTGCACTACATCACTGGGTAGCACTCCACTGGGGGCAAATCAACCTACCTGCTAGGAATGGGGGAAATAAGACCATGGATATTGGGCAGGGGTGGTATTCACTTACCTTTGCTACCGGTTTGCAAATGTGAGCCCATGTGCCTCCTCCAGAGGGTCAAAAACAGGACATGATGACATCCGGGCGGATGGGCAGAGTCTCCTGCTGCCGGTGCTACCGGATCGCACGATCCGGATAGAGCCGCCTGAATTTCACCACTGATACTGGGGCTTTATAGTTAAATGCTAAATGAAGGGCTTCTCCCTCTGAAGATGTCCCCTTCTCCATTTTCATTTGGTGGTTCAGTCCACATTAGAAACTTCAGCTTATTGTTTAGTTGGACTGGCCAGTGCCAAGGATCTAAGAACCCCAGCGATATCCATTTGAAAGATTCAGTTCTATATCCTGCCCCCTCCCCCTTCTCCTTCATTGCTATCAAAGATGGTCAGCAGTCTGCTCCTTTTTTTCCCCCCTTTCTCATGTCGGTTGCAGGAATTTATGGTTCGAAATGATTCTCCTTGTGGCACAACCATTGGACCCATCCTGGCTTCCCGCCTTGGTTTGCGTGTTCTTGATATGGGCTGCCCACAATTAGCTATGCACTCCATTCGTGAGATGTGCTGCACCTCAGGGGTTCTTCAGACCATCACTCTCTTCAAGGTAGGCGATAGCTTGGGTGTTCCTGCCCTGGGAATGGGGCTGAAGATGGCATGCAAAATCATAGCCTGCCTCTTTTTCCTTCTGCCCTGTACCTCCCAGTGAAGATTAGTTGAGCTAAACAAATATACCTAGGTGGCTAGCAAAGCCCTTTTGCAGATAAGCACCCCTCCAATCAGGAGTAGCAGATTTGAAGAAGCGAAAGGAAAAGAAACAAATGGGTTGTTGTTTTTTTAATTTTGGGAGATAGGAACAGGTCCTAATCTGCTTTCCTTCACTCCCAGTTTCTGGGTAGAGGTTTGGGCTTTGGTTCTTGCAACTCTCTAATTCTTCTTTGTAATCTTGTCTTCATGTTGCCATGGCTACAATGGTGGCCTTGAATCAGTGATGGGTTTCCATGGCAACACTGTGCCTCACGATTCTCTGGCTGCCATGGTGACGCCATTGTGTGTATTGACAGCTGCCTGCTTTTTTCCCTTTGAGAGCCTTTCTCTGCATCCCCTCTGACCCTGACTTCTCTCTTTTCTCCTTCCCAGGGCTTCTTCAATTTGTTTCCCACCTTGGATCAGGCACTTCTGAGCAGCTGATGGGCAGCCTGAATGCTGAAAGAGGCTCTCCCTTTTCCTTAGGCTGGATAATAATTAAAGCAGCTTTAATCCAGTGACCTCTGTGCAGTTCAGAGGCTTGCTGAGTTTTGATTTGTTTTTCTGTCTCGCCTCAGAACAGAAATTACCTCTTAGGCATATTTACATTACTATGGCTGAGCCTGAGAGGCATAAAATAACCTTTGAACCCTTTTTTTTCCCCCTCTGTCAACAGTAAGACGGTGAAATTTAAATACTGGCCCCTAGAATAATTTTAATATTTCAAGTGGGAAGTAAAATTACAGATGACATTCTGGTGTTGGTAAATGCCAAATGATGCAGACCTCCGTTTCTCCTTCCACTCCCACATCCCCTGCTTGCACAGGCTGTGTGAAGTTAGCAAGGTGATGCTGGCTCATCGAGTAACATACAAAAGGTCACGTATGCAGAACTGCTTTGCATAGATTATGTTATTAGAAGACCGTTTTAAGTATGCAATCAGATCATAATGGGAGAGTGGGGCCATTGCATGTTGTACTTCTTTGCATATCTCAAAACATTTTAAAATATAGCCGTGTGGGGAAAAGAGCAACCCAGAGTCACAAACCTGGATGATACTAGCAGAAGTAGTGCTGCAAAGATGCTGGCAGAATATTTCCTCCCATTATCGCCCCATTCTATTCATCAGCCATCACAGATTAGCATTCCCTAACCTGATACCCTCGAGGTGTGTCGATCCAACTCCTTCGTTCTCTAGCGAGCAAAGTTGTAGGTTTTGCTGACAATTTAGTGATACCACAATCAGTTTATAATTGGTCTTTGTGAACAAAATGACCTCTAGAAGATACTGAGTGGCATAGAAGATTGAAGGAAAATTGCTATGACCTTTCTGGGTTTTTTATTTTTCCACCATCGAGAGTAAAAAAACAATCTTGTAGGCACTACCGTACATTTTTACTTGGATGAGTTGCTCTACTTTCACACATTTTTATTTATTATTAAGTTATATACTGTCCATCTCATTGTTTTGGGCAGCTCTAGGCAGCTGTTAATAGTAATTATAAATTATTTCAGATTAGGACCATTAGATCTCACAGCCGCAAAGATAAATGATAAGTGAGTTACTCCAAACAAACACACACAGTACTACATATTAATTCTTCAGGATATATGAGATTTTTTTTACAGCTGCTTCTCTGTTGCCTTTCAAAGCGAAATCAAATTGATTGTACGGAACCCTGTTTTGATAGTTGCCTATCAAATTCTTAGAATCACAGAGATGAAAGGAGTCATGGTGGCAGTCTAGTCCCAATGACTGATTGTCCTCCTCAATTGATTCCACTGTTAGAAGCTTCTCCTGGAGTTAGAATGAGTTTCCTAAGATTGACTTGGAATTTGTCGTCTTACTTCAGGATTGAATAGATGGGGAAAATTTTCTGCAGTGGTTGAAATTTTAGTTGGCAGGAAGCCAAATTGCATTATTGGGCAATGTCACATTTTGTTTGCTATCATTTTCTTAAGTGTGTTTAAATGAGAAGTTGGGTGCTTTTTAGAGAGATGTCTGCAATTGGGTTATCATCCAACCTACCATAATTTGAGGCCATGGCAAAACAGATCTAGAGAACTGACAAATAGCTTTTTTCCAGTCTCATAGAAGGTAGATCATCTGAAGATAAGAAAACGTCCCTCCAGTTCCTCTCAATCACTAAATTAACTGGTGAAATAAGCCCCACTGTATTGAATGGATATACAGAAGCAGTTTAAAAAGGAAGCAGATTCATAAAAGGATTCCGATCAAGGGTTACACATAGGGCAAAATGCTAAAAAATACCCATCCTTGCATTTCAGTATCTTGAAGAATGTTTAGATGGGTTAATCCATGGCACCGTAAACCTATTTACTAGGTTTAGTAAATAGTAAACCCATTTACTATTATAGATGCTGCTGGAAGCAGAATCTGAATGATGCTCGAGACGAGACTGGCTAGGCTATTGTGTCAGCTTCTTCTGTTAAATATAATAAGGTGACTACACTTGAGTCTTGCTCTTTCGTTTGAACTAACAAAGACGAGTGCAATAATAGTACCACAAGTGCACTTCTTTACTGTTTCTTTGAGGGTAGGTTTCTCCATTCTTTTTCTGTGTCCCTTATACCAAACTTTAAAACTACCCCCTTTGGGGCTGGAGAAAGCCAGCTGTACTACAGTCACACCACTATCTTTAGAAGTGTCAACATGAAAGTTACTCCCTTATGATTTTGATTTTTGTTTTTTTAAAAAAGGTAATTGCACCGCAAATGAGGAACCGTGAAGCAATAGTTGAGTATTGCTGGCTTTCTGCTTTACTATTGTGAATCATTAGCATTCATTGAGACAGGATTAGAATGGGATGCCGTAACACCACGTTTCCAGATACGATGTAGATGGTCCTGTCCAAGAAATGATGCTATAGGCTACAAGTTTGGTTTTGCTTTATGGATGTATTGGGGTTTCTTTACAAGATTCAAGCAAAGGAAATGAGATGCTGCTGCTCTGAGGTTGCCGGTTTTAGGGCCTAAGACTAAGACTCGCCCCTCTAGCTGTGTGCCATGTGAGAAATGGTAAAAAATTGTCGGGCTGCATAAGCTTAGAAGAGCTTCAGGTTTGTAACAGGTATATATTGAAGCTTCAAATGAGCAAGGCTGTGCTTACTGCCTGCCTGCAGGAGGTATAATTTACCATCTTCTCTGCATTGTGATTGATGCAGGGCTGAAACATGATTAAACAGAAGGGCGTCAACTTAGAATGTTAATGCCATTTATTGGAGGAGGCATTGCCAGGACTTGGGAACGCACCAGGTATAATAGCAGGTGGGAGAGGTGAGGCTTCATTTTTATTTTTTTATTTTTTTTTTTTAATACGGAGGCGTAACCCTAAAAGTCGGGCGTGGCCAGGGATAGTTAAGCCCCGCGTTTCGAATTCAGGCGTGTCCTTTTCCTGGACTGCGATAGGCTGATGGGGCCGAGAATCCATTTTGCATGGGTCTTGAGATTGGTTGGTTTGCGGGGCGGTGCCGTGCCAGTGTTGGTCTGGAGGGGGCGCTGATTAGGGATGGTGCAGCGGCCGTGGAAGTGGCGGCTGCCCGGGCTGTGAGCTGGGGCAGCGACCGGCATGGGGCGGTGGCGGAGTCTGCTTCGGGCACTGGACGGTTTCTGCCTTCCTCCGTTGCTGCTGCTGCTGCTGCTGCTGTTGCCGCCTCCGTTCTTGGCGGCCGGCGCTGCTGGAGATCGCCCGTTGCAAGTGCTGCACGGTGAGAACTGAGGACAAGGATGCGCTTTGAAAAAGGGCTGCCGGGAGGGAGAGGCAAGATGCCAAAAGGGGACCGGGTAGACTTGGTTGGGATGCTCGGAGCTGGAATTGGTAGGGCGAACCGTGCCCCCCCCCACCGTCCCCACCCCCGGGGCTCTCTACAGGCGCCTGGTCAGCGTCTCCGCTTTTTGCCCTTTCTAGAGACCAGCCATAGCGCCTTTGCTTCCATATGGTTGGATGGAGTTGCACGCCCTTCTCTATTCCACGCCGGACGGAGGTGATTTCCCCCCCCACTCCTCCTCCCTCCTCTATCTGCGTCCCTAGAATAAACTTGGGGGTGGGGGGGGAGAGGTCCCTCCTTGGGTGGGGGTGGATTAGGGGAGCGTCTTTTTGCTGGGTGGGATGAAAGGGTGCCTTTGAGCGCCAAAGATGGTGGGGATTTGGGGAAAAGGGGGTTCACTGGGCAGAAGGGCGGGGAAGGCTTCCACCTCTCCCCCTTTTCTGCAGGCTGCTGCTTTTCCTGAAAGCGGCGGCAAACGGGCACCTTCCTTCTATTTAAAAAAAAAAAAAAAAGCATCCGTCAAAAGATCCGGCACCAGCTCCTTGAAAACGGAACCGAACCACTTCTCCGGTCCCGGTGGGCTGAATCCCACGCTATCACCCCACCCCTTTTCCATCTTGTTTTGCCCCTGAGAATATTGGGGTGGGTTTGTTGTTTTTTTCCCCCCTCTCCTCCCGCTAGGCGAGTTAGCACCGCGCAGCTTCCTTCCTCCTCCTCCTCCTCCTCCTCCCCCCTTTTTCCTTTCTTGCTTCTCCCCTCTCCTTTTTTTTTTTTTTTTTTTTTGTTGCTGTTGCATAGGCAAGTATATTTTCCCCCTCCCCTCCGCTTTTGGGGCGAGTTTTCCCAAGTGCGGATTCGGGCCCCCTCCCTCCAAAAGGGATATTGTCACCATTTTGCGTGGCTGCTTGTCATTTTCGCGTCACGGCGTTGTCAGGTTTGGCTAGCTGCGTGTCTCCCACGGCCCCTCCACACGCAGCTTGCTGTATTCATTTACAGAGCGGATCCAGTTCGAGCTCCCCCCCCCCCCCCCAAAAAACCCCCCGTGTTTTCCTGCTCAGTCAATTCACTGACGTCATTCTCGATGGTCTCTTCATCCCCCTCCACTTTTCCATCCTGGCTCAGCTGCCTGTTGCAAATATCAGCTGTCCCGGCTTCCTCCTCCCTCCCTTTCTCTCTGGCTGCTGCTGCTGCTGGAGATCGCTCAATTGTTGTTGAGAGGGAATTCCTGTTTGGAATTAGTTCTGCATCTCTTCCCTTCCACACTTATGCCAGGGTGCCTATGAAGGGCTTTGACATTGGTGCTTTACCATGTCTGATTGTTCATCTTTGCTACCTTGTAGATACCCCTGTAGATTAGAACCTTTGCCTGAGGTTGTTGTAGGCAGATCCATGCTTTTTGGTTAAGGATTGTTCAGTTTGGGTCACTCCAGGGATTTTGCAATACCAGCTGCGATGAGCTCCAGCCGGTGTAGACAATGGTGAGGATTGTGGGAGCTGTAGTCCAAAATATTTGAAAAGACCAAGTTGCCCTACCCTTGCCTTGGAACTACAGTGACTGTGATTGAAGAGGCATGGATGAACCATTATACACTATAAAACTGGTACAGAGAAAACATCATCTCAAAAACCTTTTTGATTATGAATCCAGCTTTAGAATTAGCAAGAGGGCGAGGTTTTGTCTACCAAGGAAGAAAATATTAGAAGATGGACCACATCACATTCAGGAAGGATCTACCAAATTAGATATACGTAACCCTAAAGTCCTACTTCAATGCTAAGTACATTCTTTGTTGAAGAACACTATATTGGAAATGGTGTATTGATGGAGAAAAATGTTGAAAAGCAAATACTTTTCTTTCCACAGCATCTTATGAAACAGATTCCAATGGAGTCTTACAGAAGTGTTTGCTGGCATATGAGAAACAAAAGGAGCAGGCTTCTAAAAAGTAAAATATACAAGAGCTGAAATTCTTCATTAATATAAATATTGACTAGATCTGGTGGGAAGATTTGTGTCCCATTTTGTCTCTTCTGTTCCATAAATCCAGAAGTTTAACCATCAGCTTGGATATAACACAGCAGGGTGATTGTGTATGGCTATATTTTCTGCAGAGGAACTGACCTATGCTTCCATCCAAACGCTTTCTTGCAGAAATAATGATCTTCTTTTTGATGTTGATAAAGCAGGCAACGCCTGGATTGGAGAATGATGACAGGAATAAGAAATGGGCATTATTATTTCTTTGCTTTTGGAAGATTGGTTGATGTTCTTGCAGTAATAATACTGATAACGAAAGAAGTAGTAATACTGATAATGAACCTTCATGGTTGATCACAGTCTTATTCTGTATATCTTTACTGAGCCAAAACAAAAAAAAAAAGGTAGATTTTGTAAATGAAAGAACAGCATATATGTGGCAGAGTCATATCTTTTATTCCTGTTGAAAGATTTATGGTTAACATTCATATTATTCTAGCTTAAGATAGCTGAGAAACCTTTTACTTTTCTAAATATTATTTCAAACTTTCCCAAAGAGAGTAAACATCCTTTTACTGTCCTTAGGTCAGGTCTCTTGCTGAGTAATTTTTTTGGAATGGCTCATTGACAAAACCTTGATGTTAATCTTTTGTGGCATTATTATTCTTTAACCAAGCCAATTACATCTGACAACTGCATTCTACACAGAATGATTTAGGCAAAAATAATAATTGCAACTAGCTTGTTAAGTAGTTAATTGCTGTGATTTCTGTATAACTACTAGATAAACAGAATAATCTATAGAGTATCACACTTGGTACCCATGTAAGAGAGACCCTGAACTTCAGCATGCTTAATTGAGTAACCCAGACCTGAATAGTAGGTTAGTATTTCATCAGATTACATTCACTGGTGATGAGATTCAGGTGGAGAAGAGGAACAAGAAGTCATTTTTAAACAGCTCTAATGATATCGTGGTATAGTATGAGCTACAGCAGCCACAGTTAATGAGATGAAATAATACAGGTCATTATTAAAAAACCATTTGAGATTCCAAAAATGGAAGAGTTGCTTTCCCTTTTTTCTATGATGACTAATTCTTGAACAAGTGTTTTTCCTTGGTGTTTTAATGAAACATTGCTAAATGCTATCACGGCCTTTAACATTTTGACTACAAGCCACATTTTCCCCCCAGTCCATTGGCTGCAATTATGTAAATGCCACACATACATATTCACACACATGCTATTGTGTTTACATGTTATTGCCACTAAGGAATATGAGCATTAATATACATTTCAACAGCAGGTTGACTATAATATTATGTTGCTACATTAATGCCTTGCCTTGGTTTGATTTCCATTCCATTTCAGTGGATTGTGTCTCTGGCAAAACGTCTAGATTTAAAACAGGAAATTCTTCCTACTTTTTAAGCACATACGGTTTTAGCAAAATGCCTTAAACAGAGGAGATCCGGGGAAGGGTTCCTAAAGACCTTTTGCTACTCTGTCTTACAAACATGGAAGGGTAGGGCTCAAGATGGAGTCCCCTAATCTGCAATCCATGGCTTTTGGAGCCTTGAAACCTTGCTGCGTATAAATATTTTCATTAGTGATTTAAAAGACTCCAAGCAGTCTAAGAGAAATGGTGGATACAGTAAACAGGAGTTCTCACACTATAGCAATTCTCAGTTTTGTATAGATGGGGCTTTTTTCCTCTAGCCCTGAGTTCTCCCTGTGCCAGTAGATACCAGAATTTGGAGAGAGGAAACCTAAGCTCTGTTATGAGATCCTACATTGATTGGGGTAAGCAAAAATGAAGAGGATTTTCTTCCCAAATGAGCTGGGTCCAGTTATTCCGTGTTTACTTTTTTGACTCTTGAGAAATTTGGACTTCTTTCCATCATTCATTTTAGTGATCAGTTTTTTAGGAAACCTTTTTCTAATAGCTCCTTTCTCCCTCCCTCCCTCCCTCCCTCATAATATGGGCCAACTGCCTAGTCAAGCTGATGAAATTAATTCAAGATGTTAATTTTTTTTAAAAAAATATATAATAAAAATATATATATATAATATGTATATATAATATATAATACATATTTTCATTTTTAAAAGTATAAACAGTATCCACAAAGGACAGTCTTGATTGGTGGAAAGCTTTTGTATGTTTTTAACATGATCATGATTATTCCCTGCGGGAATTTGGGGATACCAAAAATAGTATATACCAGTTCCCATTTGTTTGAATTTTGCAGTTTTGCTTCAGGCACTTGGAATCCCAAGAGAAAAATTATGACACAATTGAAATTAGTGAATAAACAAGAAATTTGGGGAAAGATGAAAAATACAGGACTGATGCTACATGAAACTTGGAGCCTGTTTTGATAGAAGCGCAATATTTATACTTGCTTTATAATACTGGAACATCATTGTCTTTTCGCCTTATTTCATGACTGAAAACAGTGATCAATTGGCAGATGAAAATAATAATGGGGGTTAATTGGAACAAAGCTCTATTGTGATATAACTCCTGCTATTTTACGAACCCTGGAGAGAGATTTCCTTCCGTAAATGAAGCATGTGGGACCACCCAACATTAGAGACTGTCCTACACTTGGTCAGAGAAAACTGGCATGCAGCTCAGGAGGCTGTGTGTGTGAGAGAGAGACAGAGACAGAGAGCTAGACTCTTACTCCCACTCAAATACTAGTTGTCACCCACAGGAAGGAGGGCTTTTGCATAAATCAATTTTGTGTACCAATTGCACCCACTCCTGAATTTGGAAGCCCATCTAGTCACTCGGGCCTTAATCATCTCTCATTTGGATTACTGCAATGCATTCTGTCATTTCAACACCACTTGAAAGCTGTAGGTGATGCAGAATGTGGCAGCAGAGTTATGGACATGCCTTGGTGCTCATGTCCTCCACTGCTTGTCAGCTGGCTTCCAAGAACATTTTAGGG